CCCCAAAACCCCAAAACCCCAAAACCCCATAGTGAATGCTCAATTTAAATATTTAATTATTTGAGGGTTCAATTCAGAATTTTAATTAGTCTCGATAAATCTTCTTAATGCTTTAGTTAAGTTAATGTTTAAGTAAAAATTTTCGTGGAGCAAATAATTGTGCTATTATCATAGGATTCGCCTATCTTATTAAATTAATTATTATGGTTGGTTATCATTTCAATATAGTTTGCTTAGGACTGCTGCTATTATTGGAATTAGATTTAGAGTTGTTATTGGTGGTGCTACTATTAATATTACTAAACAAAGACATTCCTAATTAAAAATTGGTAGTAGTCGGGAGATTAGCGAATAAATCTGCTGGTGGAGGTGCTTTATCAGTCTTTTATTGATAGCTCTTCAAGCTTACTTATTAATAGTTGTCTTTCCAACCCTTAGTTATGCTTTACAATGTTTCTAGAAAGTTAAAGCCTGGATCTTCTTGCTTACTTTAACTTTTTTTAATATCCATCACTGATGGTATTTGATCAAATTTTTCATAGGATACTAAAGGTTTGAATAACTTTGAGAGGTTTATCATTGAGTTGTCTAATTTATCTAAACTGCTATCTAGTTTTTTATACAATGGCGGCATTTTAGAGGCCTGGTTTTCCCAATAGTCGTTACTATTTATCTGCTTTTCAATAAATTGGTCAAAATTTTATTCTTTTTTATTATTTAGGATTTTCTTTTCAAGATTTTTGTTAATGAGATCTATTTTCGAATAATTCTTAAACTTGTAATCGAAAAGAGTACTGTCCTTACTGCTCTTTGGAAAATTATATTTTTAGTTAAATTCATTATTGTTATGATGATTCAGACTCCCTAAACCCCCAAATTGCTATTGAGTTTTTAGAGAATTTTTCTTTATTTAGAACATCTTACTCTTTGGCTTGTCTTTAAGGGATTTATGATCTTATTTCATGAAACTTTATTTTTCTAGAGATTGCATAAAGTTTGTGCTACCAACTGATGGAGCTGTTTAATCTTATAAAGAATTCAAGGAAGGGGAGCTCAATCCTTTACTGTCATCACTTGTATTTCCGCTACAAGAATTACTACTGCTAATAGAAAATGGAGTGAATTTTAGAGTATCCTATTTAGCTGTGTTTTATATGCATCCTATCATATCAATAGATGGCTTTTTCTCAATTATCTGTTGCAGTGGTTGGTCATTTAACAATATTGAATGCTTGAGTGAATTTGCGAAATTTAGAGTTATCAAGTCAAAATTTTGAAATTGGTTCTAGGTTAAGCTTAAACTATCATCTATACACAGGAGCTCTTTGGCTATTTAATCCAAAACTGTTACTATCTTTGGTATCAATGTTTTAACTAGAGTTTATTTCAATCGTGCCTACTAATCTTTAAGGAAGCTAGAACTGCTAATGCATGGACTACTATTGATAGTTGATTCAGCCTCATTAGAGTCGTTAAATGTACTTGAATACATTGAGCTATGCTATTATGAAGTTTTTTAGGTAATTTTTTCAATGAATACTCCTTGACTGAATGAGGAGAAATGCTTGTCTTCATAGCTTCCAGAGATTTCGTTAATCATCCTTTTCTTTCCTTGATTCATATTTAATATAATTAACGAATTTATCAAAATATTAAAAGCAGAAAAATAGCTAGTAAAGATTAACGGGGTTTTGGGGTTTTGGGGTTTTGGGG